AGGTGTGCCTCAGGTAATTTAATTAGCAATGATACTTACCTTTTAACAATAATGACAAACAATATTTTGGCTGATTGGCACCCGAGAGTCAAGTTTGTGGATGACACGTCTGCCATAGAAATGCTACCCAAGAACTCTATCAGTCTGCTCAATTCGGCCGTCTCTGACATTCACAATTTTTCTGTGGATCACAACATGAGACTAAACCCAATTAAATGTAAAAAGATGTTAATTAACTTTATGTCATATCCTAACTTTACTCGAAGACCATTAGTTGTGGGCAACAACGGCATAGCACGTGTATCGACTTACAAGATTCTAGGAGTATTTATCGATGGCGACCTAAAGTGGAATAGTAATGTTGACTACATATATAAAAAAGCTTGCAAGTTTTCAAGTTTTTAAGTTTTCATTGTATTATAACTTGTTAATTCAGTAAGTTACTGCAAGAGAGTTTAATAAACTGTTATCATTATAATATTACCTTATACAATATTAGAATTACGTAATATTCGGCGACATCTGGCAAAGTTGTTAAGGAATCCTCTGTCCCAAATAAGGGGTTCGCTTGAGATTATTTTAATAAGTTTTAAAAATAACTGCCAGCAATAGCTCGCCGGAAACGCTTAAAACGCACGCGGGCGTTGAAAGCTTTCTTAGTTCGTTTCTTTCCTTTTTTAACTCTTTGTTTGAACTTACTGTTAAAACTGTCAACGATAGAAAACAATTGTAAGAAAGAAAAGGGGAATCTTCCTCGAAAGCGTGTTACTTAAGCAACAATCTCTTATGTCACAATCTGATTGTCTCTCTTAGGCAGATGATCATCGAAATCTTTCGATACCTAGGAGCACCTTAAGGTTATAGTTACATAACTGATTAGCCTTGAAACTTACTCTGCCAGTCTTGCAGGCCAGAACTGTGGAATCGCTCGGTTCCATCGAGTTCTATTTCGGAAAAAGAAAAAAAACAGTCTGTAATACTTCTTTAATAACATTAATAACTGATGTTAGGTATATTTAGAGTCTGTTTATGCCATATTGAACCTTCGTGCTTTGCTAGGTCGTCATGAAAACAGGTCACATAAAACGTTGTTATTTCCGGCAAAAATAATTCCCAGTCAAGCTTAAAAGATTACACAACTGTCGGAAAAGGGTATAAATCTGTGTACACGTTATCCGACGCGTGAGACATATAATTGATCATTGCCTTTTTGGGTTGAGTGACACTGTATAAATTTGGGAAACCAAAGAGGTGTACCATCAATTTGATTCAATTACAGGACACACCTCTTAGGCGGTAACAGTGCTCGTTGCTCGACTTTGCGAAGCAGATTTTAAGATGTCTCATTCAAAATGTGTAAGTGAATTGTAGTTTACATGGCTAATAGAATAGGCGGGTTAAGTGCCTCTCCAGATAGAAAATATTTTTCTCTGACGGTTTTTGATAATTTTCTTCCATGTTCAGGTTTTAGCCGATACCATGAGGATGACGTGGCTTATGGAGGGCTGTGTCAATGGTCATGCGTTCACCATCGAAGGAGAAGGCACCGGCAAACCTTACGAGTAAGTTTATGTGAAATAACGATCAACCTGTGAGTTGTCCTTTTGCGTGGATGCATTCCGTTTGTGTCATCTGCGTATGGCTCTCTTGGAAAAAGGGATTTATAAATCTAAGCTTCATATAGTAACTCGTCCAGAAGTCATTGTACGAAAGTCACTTATGTGATGAAAACGCACCAAAATAGTCATATGCTAGTGATTTCGTTAATGAAAGACTACCATATCGAAAATCTTCTCCATCTGAATATTTCAGAGGCAAACAAACGGGGACATTCCGTGTTACAAAGGGCGGACCACTTCCATTTGCCGTTGACATAGTGGCACCGACCTTGAAGTATGGATTCAAATGTTTTATGAAGTACCCTGCTGGTATCCCTGCCTATTTTAAGGAAGCATTTCCCGAGGGTCTGACATACGACAGGAAATTAACATTTGAAGATGGAGGGTGTGCCACGGCCACCGTGGAAATGAGGTGAGTAATTACTTTCTATTTAACTGTTAATCAGCCTTTTAACTTGCAGATTGCAAAAAGATCTTTGAGTTACATCTTTGAATGATCTAAAACAAAAATCATTTAAATTTTCTTGCATAATCTGCAACACTACACTACTTAAAATTCACGACGGATTTCCATGATGTATATCATCATGAAAGCCACAAAAGTGCAGTAAGACAGGGACAACCGCTTGCTTTTCAAAAATAATTAGGCAAAACTCAGTTTGTACAAATCGATCTATTTTTTTTTTACATTCGTCACTTTCTTCCTTTCAGTCTTATTTTTATCTTCTAACATAGTATTCTAACCTGTTGATTTAGAGGTTTTTATTCCATTAAAATCTTTTTACCACGTAAGGTGGACTCATAATGTATGTTTTATTCATTTTGCGTTCTGAAATGTTTCCTACTTCGACAGCCTCAAAGGCGACACTCTTGTGCACAAGACCAATTTCCAAGGAGGCAACTTTCCCATCGACGGGCCTGTCATGCAAAACAAGACGCTTGGCTGGGAACCAACCTCGGAGAAAATGACTCCTTGTGATGGAACAATCAAGGGAGACACTATCATGTACCTTTTGATCGAAGGAGGGAAAATGCTGAAATGTCGATATGAAAACAATTACAGGTAATTACTTTGGCTTCGACTGCTGTGTACAGACATGTATCTGACTTGATCTTAATGGGTTTCTCTCGCGAGTCTCTAAATAGTCACCCTCTGTTATGTAACTTTACGGTATAAATTCAGCCCATTGTTGTGAAATTTCGTAATAAGAAGCGGCGAACATAACTCATATATTCAGAAGCAGTGCACCCGACAGTCTAGAGTCACCTCCGAGGTTTGCACGTTTTTTTCATTCGCCAAATTCGCTTAAATTTCCGAGTTTTGTGATCATAACTTTTCAACAGCATCGGATTACAAAACTGCAAAGCTGGATAAAGGTCCATTTGTGGACATTTCTTTGAAATTATTCTGATCGCTTACGATCATAATTACAACTCGAACGCGCTGTTCGGAAACTGTCTTCATCTGTGTGGTTACCAGGGCGTCGAAGTACATGACTCAATATCTATACTTCCTATTTTAGCGATAAATCACGGATCATTATTGATTTTTTTCCTCCAGAGCCAAGAAGGTGATACACGAGATGCCACCGAGCCATTTTGTGGATCTTCGCCTTGTAAAAACCAACCTTGATAAGAAAGGTTTGAAGTTTCAACTGGAAGAACATGCCGTGGCAAGAATCCTCGAAGTTTGAGGATTACTGGGGAGTCCCTATCATTGTGAGTCTCTCTTGTACAACAACATGAGATGAATAAAGAAGAGCGTTTTCAACCTCAATTGTGTGTCGATTTTACATGTCTTTTAACTTTCGATTGATTATGAGGAGTTATGAAAGGAAACGAACCAAATCCCTGCTTTTATTATTCGTTGCTTGCAGAGAGTGCGTAAAGTTCGCTTCACAGTTGTCAAGGCCCAGATTTTTCTTACACTGACCTATGATGATTACATAATTTTGATTTCAACTTTATAAATCATTCAAATCTGAAAGAAGATATATGAGAATTGGTGCCAAAAAGAAAATTGCAGCTCAGCTATCCCTGAAAACACTTCACTTTTCGACCTCCAGACACTTCCCTAAGAAAAAATAATGTGAGTTCAAGAAACTTAAAACTTCCTACACGTAAACACTAAATTGATTCATGTAGTTCTCCATGAATAAACTCTTCCCTTACTGGACTAATTGAGCGAGATGACCTGCATTGTTGAGCCAAGATTCGTATCACCTTAATAAAGTCAATTCACAAATTCTTCGCTTTGGCCAATAAGATTTTAAAATTTCGAACAAGACAAAAACCTCGAGTATGAAATAGAGGATATTACATGGCCGCGCGGAGATAAGAAATTTGTCTTCCAGTCTTTAAAAACATTGCACGAGTATGCGAACATGTTTTCTCAAACTCATTAATAATGTACAAGGCCTCATTTGAGTCACATGGATATCCGGTAAAGAACAGACCCAAACACGCGTGATTAGATATCCAAACACACGTGTTAGGATATCCAAAACACGTGTGTTTGGAAATCAATTTCCAAAAGAATGCAGTACTTGAACAAATGTTTATTGACTTCCAGGATTACAATCATCATTCTTTGCAGTTAAAATTAACGCTTACATTGCAATTCAAGAACATTCCAGAATTTAACTGATCTAACATTCCACGCACACTGCCTTCACCTTCCAAAAGTTCACTGCTAGTGCTCGTGGTTTCCGTTACGCTACTAGATGTGGAAGGTCCAAGTAGTTTAGACACTTTAATAGTGTCTCTGTAAGAGCGGTCCGATCGATTTTGCTTTTTTGAGACACGAATTTCGCTCATTTCTTGTGTGTCGTAAGACATTCATGTACCTATACTAAAACCACAATCCGTTTGATCGGATCTCTTTAATCTCAGTTGTAGTCCTGAAAAAAATATCAGGGGGTCCTTTGAACCATCCACTTCATCTCGCCACAAGTCAAAGTTGCCTGCACTCATTCTAAAAAATTTCGTGCGATTTTACGACGAATTGTCAATTCCGGTGTGTTACGCGCGCGACTTTTGATTGAAAAAACCTGCAGGCGCCATAACTTAAAAGAACGTGTCAGCTGAATGAATCAAATCTCTATCATTTTGCATACATTCTTGGGAACAGCAAAAATGACTAAGAACAAACATTCTAAGTATAGTGTTCATTCCGTGCAATGGGGCAAAAATTGAACGTTCTGACGGAAAAGAAACCCTATTTTATACCACTGATGACAAGCAAAAGGTCATATGGGTACCCGGTTAAAAATATATTGATAACAATAGTAAGAACAAGTCTCTGTACGAATAAAACATCTTGGGAAATGAAAATTTTCAACCCTCCTTGAAATTTTGTATGCAGTTAGGCACTCAGGGGGGATGCACAAAAATGCCCTTTTTAAAGGTCGCAGCACTCTTGTTGCCATGGTAACAGCGACTGCTTGTTCGAGGCATGGGGCTTCATTTTCATACAAAAACGTCGCAAAAAAAGAGTGAAATGTTTATTTCTCTATCTCAAGCTAAATACAACATTACAAATTGGCACTTCTACCATACACAGTAACATGATTTGTCTTCACTTCGATATATTTCATTATCCCTGTGAGTGAATGTGAAGACACCAATGGATTATTCATCTCGGTACAGTTTCGGTCATTTTTGTTATGGGGTAAAACAGGGAAAACGTTTATCTGAATTTCTCCAAAAGTACACCGATTCTGGAACTGAAACTACCCATCTAGCTGGTTGTAATATTCTAGTTTTTAAATATGCAAAAATCTCTGCGGACCTGCCTCTACTTTTAACAGGGGCAATTCGCGAAAAAAGCTCAAAATCAGATACTGCATAATTTGGCGATGTTTACATCTAATGTTCTCAACAACAAACGTTTCAGACAAATGAAAACCAACTTTCAAACAACTTATTAGCCACACGTAAATTGCAACTTGTCATTGAACGAAACTCCCCATGGTTAATATGTAATCTGGATTGCTCCATGTCCTTCAGGAAAAATAACAGCGATTTCATCACCATTATTTTCCATACTTTTCTCCCGGATATCTTTTACAAGCTTAAAGGAAGATGAAAATAACGCAATCTCCCTGTGATTTACACGAGTGGAAGTCAAAGATCTTTTTAATTTTCCACTGAGGTGGCCGGCTCATCAGGAAGAAAAAGGAGATCGTTCGGTCCAATAACACTGGTCTGTAGAGATTATTAAGCTAATAACTGAGAAGATTGTAACCTTTGGTTCATCAGTGACAGCATTAATTATTTCAAATCTGTTTTTCTAAGTCCAAGCGACACAAAAAATAGTTCCTTTGTAATTTTGTAAGCACTTTATGTAGCATTTTATTTTCAAGAGAAATAAATCTCAAGGCTCCAAGCCAATATAACGTTCAAGCACGTTTTTTTTTTTGGTTGTTTTTACTGAGAATGCGCAGAAATCTGCTGATATATCTAAAAATATGGTATTTCTGACGAATGAGTCTGCGAATAAGGCAGAAATAAATATTTTGTCGGCACGAGATACGACAAGGCCTGGGCCTTAGGCCTAAGCATCATGGGTAATGATGCAGTGGTATATAAGGGAAAGTATAGCCTGATGTCCATCTTCAGAACCAACCGTTCACCTCTGGCTGATGACAAATTTATTTTAAAAACATATTTTCTTTAGCTGTGAAGCCTCGTAGGATGGGCTGCCAACTGCTCTGGGTTTGGGCCATGGTTCCTACCCAGATTTCCTGTCATGTTTTTCCCCAAAGGGGTTTTTTCCGGTAACGGCCATAACCGTAGTTATGTCCTTGACAATCTCTGTTAATCCAGACTTGTTTTGCATGTTAGAATGTATACCTTTTTTTTTTTTTTTTTATGAATATTGACTGTATATCAGGATAGTTTATGGTATATCAGATCATTATATGTATGTATGCATTCCTCAACATATATGTTTTAAAATAAACTAATTTGGTGTACAATACTGTGTTATTTGTTGTGTAGTGGAGACAAAATGTCCATTTTTCGTCTTCTTTGGGGTGACCGATGGAAACTTCATAGAGAAATACAGCGTAACGCCATCGTGACAATGTACATGGTTAGGACAAATGACCGGTGTGAGGATAGTTTCGTGTAGATCAGCCGACTTCAACATGTTTTAAATGACATACAAGTATAAAAGTATATCTTCAGAGGACTTCGGATAGCTCAAATTCCCATGAAAGAAGGTGCAACACTTGGAATCCGGATGATATGCACACGATTTGAGGCATATGTTTGTAGTTAGGTCGAGTAGTCCTCCATGAAGGTTGATCAATTTTTTTTTAAAAGATGTCAACCAGAGGCGAAATTTCTCTTTGGGATATTGCTCATAAGATAACATACTTTCAAAGCCATGAATGCCCCTATAAAAAGTAGAGGCAGGTCTGCAGAGATTTTTACATATTTAAAAACTAGAATATTATAACAAGCTAGGTGGGTAGTTTCAGTTCCAGAATCGGTGTACTTTTGGAGAAATTCAGATAAACGTTTTCCCTGTTTTACCCCACAACAAAAATGACCGAAACTGTACCGAGATGAATAATCTATTGATGTGTTCCCATTCACTCCCAGGGAAAATTGAATAAATCAATGTGAAGACGAATGATGATACTATGTATGGTAGAAGTGCCAATTTGTAATGTTGTATTTAGCTTGAGATAGAGAAATAAACATTTCACTCTTTTTTTGCGACGTTTTTGTATGAGAATGAGGCCCTAGGCCTCGAACAAGCAGTCGCTGTTACCCTGGCAACAAGAGAATGAGAGAATCATGCAAACTGAGGAAAACTGACCGCAAATAATTGTGAACCGTACGCCTGACTAAGTGTATAACGTTGTCAGGAGATTTGATATTCTATAAAAATATTATTGATTATCAACTTAGCAACATTGTATATATTTCCGTCTGTAATTAAAAGCACTGACACATGGATCTATGTTTTTTCAACGTGATATCTACTTAAGTACCCTTAATCTAATAAAGAGTTTCATCTCTTTTAGGGCAGATATGTCACAAGACAAAAATAGGTAACAGAAAATTTTACTGAAGACTACCTGATTCAACTGGAAGAATAACTCCAAACAGCTTTTGAATGTCCTAAGACATATGCAAGGTAATTACTCCTCTGCTTTGGATACCCTTCCTGACACCATCATGATCAGGATACTGACATGTTACCTTTGCACTTCTCCAAAACTTCCCCAAAGTGTGGCGATGCCTATAGCAAATCCACATTTGTTTATCCTCCGGAGCGAGGTGAAATGGGCCAGTCCTTGCCAAGATTAGCTCATTATCACTTGAGACGCTCTTAAGACAGGTGGCAGCTTATCAAATGATTTACTTCATTATTGCATTCAGACAGTCGTACCAAACCACTTAAGCCACGCGATGAACCAAAGTTTTTCCATCTTTGCTATTCAAAGAGCAGTCCTGAGACATAATGAACGTCTCGCTAACGAACGAATTCTTCCTGTACTTGTAATTGTTTCCTACGCGATACAAGTTCGTCAGATCTAAAGGAACTCACTATCACTTTGTATACTCGATACGATTTCAATTTCCGCGCCAAAGGAAAAGCTTACTGTAATTTGTGAGTAATCATTGGTTACACTCGTGAGGTAAACATTGGGTTTGCGACTTTTTTACTCAATTGAAAAGATTTGCGTCACTCTTATGAAATGGTTAAACGGAATACAGACTCCGAGCATTCTCTTATTTTCCTTAAAGGTAGTGAGGTTACGCGTATCCTATGAGCATAGAGAAGCCGCGATACGCGAGACTTTCTCCACGCTCTCAAAGTTGGGCAAAGACAAGACACATTACTTCTGATGCGATACTAGAGGTTCAATGGTTATCTCAATTATATAAACACATTTATTAACATGGTAAGGACTTGTTTATTCACCCAATTCCGATATCCTGGACGCGATTGGAGATCATCCAAACATCTTGGAGAGCAAGTTGCGATAATTTGATTTATCGTGTGAAAACATCTTCTTTATCTACACTATTTTACGATATATCTACATATTATCAACATGCCTACAAGCTGTTGTGTTCCTCAATGTAACCAACAGGGTTTTACCACGCCAACAGGGAAAAAGTGTCGTATTTCTCCTTTCCTAAGCCTGCTTTTACGAAGAAAGCAGTGGATTCACGCCATTCGCCGCGAAGAAGGAAAAAACTTCAAGATTTCCTCAAGCGCGAAGATAAACTGCCCCTTGGTGTCACCTTAACATCCCACTATTTCTTGGATCTAACCAGCAGATGTCTTCTGAGGATGTCATCAAAACTCAGACCATTGCCAGCCTAAGGATACATGTCGAGAGAGCTATCATCAAGATAAAGAACTACCGTATTTGGCAAGGAATTGTACCCCTGAACAATTTTGGAGTTGTAAACCAGATGTGGAGCATTTGTGCCTTTTTGTGCAAATTACAGGAAGCACTCAAATCTAGCTAAGGTGAAAAATGATTTTGTCAAGTACTGAAAAACACAACTAGTTATGTTGTTTTTTAAATTTTTGCAGTGTATGTTTCAAATTGGAACTCTGTTTTCCATAACAATTTTGTCAATTATTTCATAACACAACTAGTACAGTAATCATTGAGAATGTGCACAATGTATTCTAAAAAACAAAGTTTTTCGGCAGTTTCTCAATATGCTATAAATTAATATATGAATCATACAAATAAACAACTGTAAATAATCATCATGCTAATTTTGTATGGAGCAATTTTTGCGGCATAAGGCAGAAAATATTTGAAGTAAAAACTTCTGAGTGATTCCTTTAGTGTTAACCAGAATGGAAGATCAAATGGGATTCGTTCAATGCTAAGTCCTTTGCTTGTGTATACCACAAAGTCACACCAACTTGTTCCAGTGACACCCATTTGTCCTTGAATTTGTGTATTAATTAGTTTTAGCTTTGGCTTGCCATCAATATCTTCCAAACAGAAGTTTTCATGTGAACATGCATCAAGTGGAGTAACGTAGTCCTTAGTTTGAGGATACTTAATCTCAACAAGTCCAAAAGGATCACTACATCCACCATCTATGACTTTGTTGTCTGGTGAAGTACCAAGGTAGGAAGAATCTAAACAAACAACTAATCCTGATTGGCAAACTTTCACGAGTTTTCCTGTAGTTGCCATGTACTTTTTGTATTAATCCAATGCGGTTGATTCATATTACAATCCATAAGTAGAGTATTTAGATGTAAATGACTTTCCTTCAAGAAATTCTTTAGCTAGGGATTCATGCTATCTTTTCCTTTTTGTTGTCCTTGCAAAATTGAAAGCAGTTATTCCTAATTTTCGTTGCTTTTTCCACTCATCAGAGTTTGACTGTCCTCTGGTGGCCTGTTCTATTTTGTTTAATTCATCCACAGTAACTGTTATATCTTGTAATAATGTCTGTTCCTCTGCATTGATGTCTGTTGGTCCTTGAAAGCTATCACTAACTTTTAAAGGAAGTCTAGGGAATTGGTCTATGGTAATTTCATTATTAGTTTGTTCTCTCCTGCTTACAGAATCAACATCACAACAGACTTTGAAGTTATCTTATGTCAAGGATAATGGGTAGCTAGCATAAGAGCCTTGTGAACTCCATTTTTTCTGAACTATTATACTTTTGTCACTTCGTGGATTCATGATTTGAGCTAGAGCCAGTTTTGGATTTATCTCTTGTATTCTTTTTTGCAAGTTTAACTCGGAAGTACTTTGAATTTTTGTAGTTTGGTGAGCTTCGTAGAGAAGACATCCCATTCAAAGTTTACTTTTCAATACTTTATCAGTATCCAACGATGTTTTGGTTATAAATACACCATTACTGGTTGGGGAGTGATTTTACTTTCTCTTTCTTTACGATGCCACTGCTGAAGTTGAGATGTGCAGGTCTTTTTAGGCTGAGGAACGTTGTCATCGAGATCGCTGGTGTTTTTGCATTCATAAAAGGAAAACAAGCAGACTTTCATCATAAGTGCGAGTACGTGATTACAAAAACCTTTGCGAACGGCAACGCACGAACAAAAAGCAAGCTTTACTTCACTAGTTATCAAACATATCGCAAATCTCAAATCATGTCGTTTTCGTTCTTTCTGTAGCTGTGAAAGCGTTGGCATTTGAAGTAAAAATAGTGACTGTCACTGCACGCTTTGGTGTCTTTCAAGTATTCATCATTGAAGAATGTTGTCGCTTTCTTCATGCTTGTCAGTACTGAATGGTTTTTAGTATTTGGATCAATGTTTTTGCGAGACTGTGATATATGCGCCCGAACTTCAGTACGTGTAAATGATGGCATTCTGGACAAATCATCTGACCATCCATTGGTAGGATATTTTTAAGGAAGGCTGGTTGTCTCACTTTACATCTTGAGTTTTGTCGTGACGTTGTTTCCGTCTTGAATAAATCTGGTCAAGATCAGGGTCTACCAGTTGCTTTTCACGTCCAGAATCGATGTATTCTTCGACCCTTTATAAAACACGAGGTATATTGTAAGTATTTGAGAGAAAACACAACAAGAGCGCGAGTAATAATGAAGATCGAGTATTGTAGTTGGCCTTACCTTTTAACTAAAGCAGTTTTTGTTTTAATTCCTTTTAGTGAATCACCTCTACATTTTAGCCAGAACTTTATTTCGTCATTCTTCAAAGTTGCAGGAGATCTTCCACAAAGGGAATACCCCGGGATATCGCCTTCCGTAAGCTGACAAGCAGCCATATGTGCGAAGTCATAATGAAAAGAAAACTTCCCTTACTAACCTCGACTTCATGATATGGCCCAGTTGCGTCCGAGTGTTGTCGGCCATATTGAAATTTGGTGTATAAATCTATGAATTGATGCCAGTCCTGTTTGGAACGAAATGTATTTGAAAGAAAAAAAGAATACTAAGCCAACCAAGAGTTGTCTGAAACACGAAGCGTGCCTTCGCATAAGACTGAGAGTCCTAATGCTTATTATGATACTTTAATGCATATGTTCGAATGTTCCAAAAATTTTCCGAAAATCTGCCCGCACACACCCCGCACCACGCCCCCCACCACTGAGCCGTACCGTTTTCATTCAGTGGCTGGTAGCGATCACGTTTATGAGGTAAACATGGCGATCGCTATCTGATCACCGTTTTCGTCGATCCGAAAATCAAAATACCAGCGTGATATTGCCTCGAAGATGCAGCAGTTATGTTATTTCATTCGTATTTCACATTCGAGTCGAAGCTTAGGTGGCACAGGTTTTTTCTCTTACAGTGGAATCGACGAGGGGAATTCGAACACTAATTGTAGTATTTGAATTGTTGGAAGAAATGGTCGCATGGTAATGTAGGAATGGTAAGTTTAGCGAACAATTTCAAATTTTGCCGCTGGAATTGAAAGTAAAGTTCATTTGAATTGCTTTCGTATGTATTTCTGACGGTTTTAGATCTACCTGCTTGATTTATATCAGTTACGTCTCATGGTGACAAGTCCCTCAAAATGGCAGCCAAACTTGGAGATTGCCGAAAATTAGGTAAGTTCACGGAGTTATAAAGTTTTCGTAAAGGTCGGGCCGCAAAGTTTTTTTTCTGTAGTTACCTTTTCTATGGCACCTACTTCTTAGCTATGTTAGTTTGATCAGTTAAGAACGCCTCACTTTCTCAAAAATTTACCCTGAATTTGATCGGTTTTCACGGGTGTGACTTAGGCGAACCGATAAGGTGTCATTTAAGTCTTCCTGTTTCCTTGATTGAAACGTGATGTTCACGAAAGTCGCCTTGATAGATAAGATACGGTTGATATACATGGCTGTGGTATTTGTTTTATGCTGAGCTCCGTAGTTTTTTGTAAATTGTCATCCAAAGTTGTCTTAAATTAAAGTCTTGAAAAGTGTCACGACAAGCCTTCGCTCGAGTGAAATTTAATTTCCGTAAAACTGTGAAAAATAAGAAGATCTGATCAAACGGATTGTGGTTTTAGTATAGGTACATGAATGTCTTACAACACACAAGAATTGAGCGAAATCCGTGTCTCATCTTTGGAAGCAAGTAAATAAAACCACATTAGTTTCTGGAAATACGTTAATACGCTAAAAAAAAGCCTTTTTTTGACCTCTTGCGACATCGAAAATTTAAAAAAGTTGAAAAGCCCGGTCCGTTCTACATAAGTAGCTTGATAAATCTAAGATTTTCACTAGTTGAAAAGATAATAGGAAAGAGCTTTTAAACCACACCGATCGATACCATAAACCTTTTAAAAGGTCAATTTAGACAAACTTTAGGGCCTGTTTACATGGAGGCGGGGGACCCCAGGTAGGTGAGGTAACCCGCCTATCCGTGGTCGAAAAATAAAACGCGTTTACATGCAATCTTACAACCCCGGGGTACTGGGGTGAGGTTTCTTGAGATTGTTGTTTCGCAAAGGTGTTGTTGGTGCAAAGTTTTAAAGCATACATGTTTCGCTTTTGAGCTTTTTGCTATGAACGCGACCCCGACTAGGCGGGTTATCCCACCTTGACACTTTTACATTGCAAATTGTCACCCCGGCTGACCGGGTTACCCTACCTGGCAGACTGGGTCACCCCACCTATCATATAAACGTGATAAAAAAAAATTATATGGACAGGCAGGTTACCCCACCTAGGCGGGTTACCTCACCTACCTGGGGTCCCCCACCTCCGTGTAATCAGGCCTTTACTATCTCGTGACGAACGTTGTCAACAACAACGTATCGAATTTTATAATTTGATTAGCGCTTGGTCAACAGTTAAAGTGGCAAACTCTTTTTTAAAAATTTGAATTCTGTTATTTCATATTTGAGTTCTGACAGCTTACGCCATTCAAACCTGTATAAATATTTCAGAAACAAACAACAGGGTTTTAATTAGTGTAACCGGTGATAACAGCACACACTGAAATTTACCGTGACCGGTGACTCTGTCAAGTAATTCAATCGTGTAATTATCCTGAATTACTTCTCAAGTCTAAATAACGCAGCAATTGCTCGGATATCTGGCTGACAGGAACAAATGATATTTCGTCGTCTCTCCCTGTCTGTATAATAGTCTCGATTCGTTACTTTGAAGAGTTCTTGTGAAAAAGGATATCGCATTCGCTTAACGGATGAACGTCATAACTAGATTTTATAACAACTGCACTCCGAAATCATTTCCTCCATCTTTGCAAGAGGTGCTGCCTTTGTATCGCGCATTTTGAATGAGAGATCAATATGACAATGACTGAAAGTGATGAACCCACTACCTCTTCAATTTGTCATAGAGACTTTCAGTCATGCTCGCGGGCACAGGACTTACATGATGAATTAGAAAATTCATTTGGAGGTCAAGGTCGGCCTGGGTCTTAAAAATCTTCATCGGAACCAGGCTCAGGGCATTGGTAGGAGCTACCGTCGTTGCCGTCACCATCAACTCTGCTTTCTCCTGCTGATGCAATTCGTCGAGTAGTAGTGGCGAAAGACGGAATCTCCTCCACGAGTTCCGTCTTTTTCTGTGTCAAATTACAAATTTATTCCATGGAATAAACTTTCCACGTCCAGCATCAAACGCTTTCCGAATGCGCAAGCCCTATTGTGTAAACTCAAAGTTGTGTAAGTCGTTGAAATTGGCAATTGCTAATTTCTTGGGTTGAGTTCTGTTCCTGGACTATGCACACTGACCCCGTCGTTCCCCTGACCGGTCTCTTTTTCAATGTGTTATGCATGTCTTTGGCAGAAACAACATCATGGCCTTCGTTGCAATATCTCCTGATTGACGTTATTGATGGACACAGAATCCTGTCACATATATCTTTTCCAGCCTGCGGCTCAGAATAATCGTACTTCGCGGGTTCGATTCCCTGGCGATGTCCGAGCTCTCGTAGGGATGATAGCAGCGTACTGTTGTGATAGCAACCTGCTGCAACCTCTTTGAAAGGCCTCTTTTACTCCTGGATTTTGTAAATTCATAGTGACAAAGAGATTTTTAAGGATTGACAGCACTGAAAACCAGTCTTCTTTACAGTAGTTAAGAAGGTATACGTAGCAGGTTACTTCTAGGCTTTCCTCCTGTCTTACAACAACGGTATTCACGTGCCAATTGATTCCTCTCTTGGCAAACCATTCTGCTTGTTTTTCCCGGAACTTCATCGCTATGAGTTTCATTGCCCAATCAACTACTAAAAATGCTCCATATCACATCAAAGAATCAAGAATTTGCCGCCTGCACTGATCCTGGTTCTCTGCTCTTAGGATATGCCCTCTCTATTCAAAGATCTTAGCGGCAGCATTTTTGGCTTCATACAGATGGTCTTCCGCTTGAACCTTACCCAATTGCATTGTGTGCTCAGAAATAGCTCCTCTTACTACTTCAAGACACTCTTCAGCTTCTCACAATCCACACCCTCCCCTTGTGGCTAATGACACTGACTTTCAGAAAGTATACAGTCACAGCGTTGTGACTTCATACTCTCTGAAAGTCAGTATCAACAGCATCGCTCAGTGCGAAGACCCTACGGTGATCGGCACATTTGTTATCATCCTTAATGCAATGATTACGGTATGTAGTCTTGAAATACGACTTGCTCTCCTGTAGCCTCTTGCCAACTTCTTTACACCAATCCTGTTCTACTCCCATGCGTTCCAGTTCGTCCATAATTTATAGAAAATCCCTAAAACCATCCGCTCCCACAGCTCTAGTATTTTCTAGACCTCGAAATCGGATTTCCTCTGTGTGGCCTCTTGAGCTTCTAGTACTCTCCACATCTTTGCAATGGTTCATGTATTGATTAATAATGGCGCACTTAACCACTGTGCGCGCCACATTAGGTATGACAAACTCATAATCGCTCTCAAGTTTGATGGTGCGAGTACCGTAGGCTGGTCTTGACAGTAATATGGCCTCATAGTGAAATCCAAGTGGTCTAGCTGACGCTGTTACGTTGTTTATGGATTCTGTGACGGTGGATTTTTTCAGTAGGCACTTCAGGCCGCTCACTCTTCGCCTGTGCTCTTGCCTTCTTTATTTGTCTATCGGAGGGGTTTTCAAATGTCTGATATATGCGTTTAAGCTCGTTGGCTGAGAATCTGTCAGCATAAATACTCAGTATTTGAGTCCTAAATGATTTTGTGGGAGCATTCTGATAGGCGACCGTAAGGGTTTGAAGGCCAACATCGATAGATGTCTTGCACTTCTGTTCATAGTCTACGACCGCTTGTAATAACGCTTCACCATCTCATGGAGCCATGACATCCCACACCAGCTGGCACGCTTCCTCAGCTTTTTGAACAAATCCAGATTTTTCAGGAAAGGAGCATTTTTCCCAACAATCTACTTGGGATTCCAAATGTGTAATCCTGAGCTTTTGTATACAATACAATACAATATACAATATTTATTTTGCCATATACAACATTTACAGATGGGAAAAAAAAAATGAAGAAAATTGATGACAGAAAATAAATGGCGAGAAAACCTGAAAGAAACCACGAGGCTTATAACAAGTCAGGCTTTCTCACTTAAAATAACTAATCTTATATTAGAATTACAATATGGACTTATGGTAATTAACTTTGACCGCGCACACATACAAACACACACACGCACACTCATATTAAGTAAGTTAGTTAAGAATTACTGCCTTACAGAAGTTAATACCTAGAGAGAAGAAATTCCTTAAGCTTTCTTTTAAAAGAAGCGGAGGAGGGAGAACTAGTTATGTCAGAATTTAGCGAATTATAAAAGTTTGGACCTTG